TCCCATTGTGTGTATGTACCACGTTTTGTTTGTCCCTTCATCAATGGCCATTAGGGTTGTGCTCATTTAACTTTTAGATATAATTCTGTAGCAAGAGTGCTCGCCACATGTAAGGTATGGGGGGGCAGAAGTATACCGTCTAGTATAATCTATGGCCCACGCATCCAGAAGGACAGCCAAGCAGGGTGTTTCCTGGACCCCCAGGGCAGCTTCTGGGGAGTCGTGGCTGGCCTGGAAGTGTTCAGGCACAGAACGACTTATTTCAGCATCAGCATTGTACTTAGTAATTAATAACAATAGTTTCTTCTTCTTCTTCTTCTTCTTCTTCTTCTTCTTCTTCTTCTTCTTTCTTCTTCTCTTCTTCTTCTTCTTCTCTCTTCTTCTTCTTCTTCTTCTTCCTCTTCTTCTTCTTCTTCTTCTTCTTCTCCATGCCTAGTATGGAGCCTAACCCACAGCTTGAGCTCAAGACCCTGAGATCAAAACCTGAGCTGAGATCAGAGTCAGATAGTTAACCAATTGAGCTACCCAGAACCCCAACCTTAACTTCTAATTACTACCACAGAACTTCTGAGAAGCTGGAGATTTCAAGTAACAGAGAGAATTCCTGGCCTTCGTGTCCTTTGGTTTGGGGCTAAGGTGCTTCTCTGATAGTCTGAGAAGCTCTCCTGGCTGTCCTCGCTGGCTGCCTGGCCGCCTCCTCATGCCAGCCCTCTCCCCCACTCACCTCCCAGCCCTGTGCATCAGGATCTGAGTGCCAAATGAAGGAACAAACAAGTTCCTTCTGGAACTTGAGGAAACAAGCAAAGTCTGGCCAAATGTGGTTGTGTCGAAGGTGAAGAAAGGCACAGCCATTCCTTCAAGATGATTCCTGTGAGTGATGCTGGGACCCAGGCCATCTGAGGAAACAAAAGTTAGCTCAGCTTTCTCTTCCACTCCACTCTCTCTGGGTAGAACGGTGGGTGACGTGCCCCTGTTACTAAATCCCTTTCATTTATTTACATTCTCTCTCTCTCTCTCTCTCTCTCTCTCTTTCTCCTCCGATATACAGTTGAAATCACACAAGTTAAAAGTAGAGCATGATTTTGCTCCATGATAGAGGTGATGAAAGTAAAAACCATGTGTCCACCATGAACCAGGCCTGGGATCATAACTTTCCATGGATTTTGTCATTGACTCATCACATCAGCTCAGGGAGGAGGAGGCTATTATTGAACCAGTTTTACACTTGGGGAAATTGGCAAGAGTCATTTTAACTCTTCCTATTGTTTATAAGTTGTATTATTCACCTCCAGGCTCTGCAAATGCTACGTTGAAATCCTGACCCTCAGTTACCTCAGAAAGTGACCTTATTTGGAAGGAGAGTCTTTACAGAGGTAATAAGAGGAGATCATTAGGACTGGGGTCCTTATAGGTAGGTGACATTCAGACAAGAAGCACACAGGGACAACTGTGAAGGAACACAAGGGGAAGGCCGTGTTACAAAAGAGGATTAGACTGATGCGTCTGCAAACCAAGGAATGCAAGAAGAAGTGGTAGCCACCCACCAGAAGCAAGAAAGAGGCAAAGCAGGATGCTTGCCTGTAGGCTTTAGAAGGAACATGGCTCTGCCAAAACTCTGACTTCACACATTCGTTTCTGCTGTTTGAAGCCACCCAGTTTTGGGTATTTGGTTACCGCAGCCACAGCAGATGAATATACTCTGTGACCAGGAATTATCAAGTGACCCAGGCGTGGCCAAACAAAACCCCCTAACGACCCTCTGTGCATCATGATCATGGCTCAGGAAGAGCAAGAGATCCACACTGGGTTGATGAGGAGCATCGCAGCATTTGCTATAACTATAGGGAAGGAGAGGTGTTTTTTTTCTGACAAATCCCTTGGCTGTCAATGCTGGCTTGGCATGTCTGCTGATCACCTGGATCCAGCCATAACTGAAGTCATTGCCATTTTAGTCACATAAGCCACAAGCTTTTTTTTTTCTCTTGAGCCAGTAACCAGAGAGTGATTATGTCAAATGGTCCACATTGTTATTGCAGCTTTGTGCCTGGTGTCTGACCTGCCAGCCATCTTTCCTCAGCTCTGCCCATGAGACCCCCTTAGCATGGGGAGGGCTACTGGAAGCTTCTACTGCCGAGCCACCAAGCTAAATAACTGTTTAGTAGTGTTGCCAAAAGTATTAGCCTCTTGGAACAGCTTGATGTCTTTTTCTTTATACATTTTCCCAAGCAGGGTCATGAGGATGGCACATCTGTGTGCCAGCTGGTTTATTCAGCAGGACCAAGGAAGGATGGTGGGGCAGAGGGACAAGTGTCCGAGCTTCAACACCTTTCAGAGGAAGCTTCGTGCTGCTTCTCTGGGCTAGAACTTCATGTGAGTGCAGACGATGGCACAGTGAGGGGAATGGAAGCTCTATCTCGAATCAACCTTTCCAGACCTCACTCCCAGGGTGGCAATTAGGTCTGCTGTGAGAAGGAAACAAATTATCTTAATAGATGGGTAAGCCTGGATCCTACTGGAAAAAAAAAAGATTAAATCATCGGGACTACATATTTTAAATAAAAAATTGGTGTTTTTGTAAAGAGTGTGTAATTTTACTATTTCTATTCTGTGCCCTCAATGCAATTTAGATATGACATGTCAAGCATGCACTCAATTTTGTTCTTAAAAGAAAAAAACAATCTTGTGTCTCACTAGAATTCAGCATGTTTTTGAACTGACAACATTAATAGACAGCATTGTTGAAATATAAAATAGAACTTGGAAGAGTGAAGAGTTTATTTAACTTCAGTGAACTGTTACTGAGTATCGTCTAATGGATAAGGAATGGTTAGAGAAGGGAAAAGCAAATAACCTATGACTCTTGCCCCTGAAAAGCTGCCAGTCCATGGCAAAGAATGCTAAGGCCTTTGGGAAGGAATTTTAGTAGGCTTTTGGATTCAAGAAACAAACAAACAAACAAAAGTCTAACTCAGTGAACTTATACTATACCAGAAGTTTACGAGCTCAGAAGACTTAAAGTCTTAAGGTAGTTTCACCTTCAGGTTAAGCTTGATTCAGGACCTCACATGCTCTGACCAGGATTCAGTTTCTTTCCATGTTTCCTTTATCTTTTCATAGTTCTCCATTTTAAAAAGGTTTTATTTATTGGAGAGAGAGAGTATGTGTGTGTGTGTGTGTGTGTGTGTGTGTGTGCAAGGGTGAGGGTGGGGAGGGGCAGAGAGAAAGGGTGAAGCAGACTCCCTGCTGAGCAGAGAGCTGGACTTTGGCCTCAATCCCAGGATGCTGAGACCATGGCCTGAGCCAAAGGCAGACACTTAACTGAGCCACAGAGGTGCCCCCATATCTTCCCCATTCTTGGCAGTGTCCTCCCCATTCCTCTTGCCCCAGCTGTACTTCCAACCCTTCTACTCTCCTGCTCCCTGGGAATCAGGAATAGGTACCAAAAAAATAACGCATTGAAATTTGAAGACAGAATATGCATTGAATTGACAACAAGGGAAGCACATTCCAGCAGAGACTATCTTGAAAGGCGTGAAAAAGTGAAGCTCCTGGAGCGTGTGGGGGTGCAGAGACTTTGGTGCTGCCAGAGGAGAGAGTTCAGTTGAGGGAATATGAGTGAGGTATGCGGGGCACTGAGGGGCCGCTGATCTCTGCCCTGAGCCCAGGGGAGGAGGTGGCCCTTTATTCTGAACGTCGCGGGGGAGGGGAATGATTCTCAGCCGGGTGTGCCGTGATAAGATCTGCATTTTTAAAAAGAAAACTAAAAAGCCTGACTCCAGCCGGCCTAAACAATCCAGGAAGTTCATAATCTTATATAACTGAGCTCAGAGGGAGGGTGAGCCCGGCTTGGCAAGATGGGAGCTCAAAGAGGCCCCGGGGGACTTGATCCCCTTCTGTTTCTCTGCCCTGTCATCGTCTGTGGGCTTCAACCAAAGTCGGCCTGCCCTGGGGTCACAGGACTGCTGCCCGCGGCCAGTGGGGCCATACGCTGTCCTCTCTGCGTCCAATAGAAGGGGTCAGGGAAAGGGAGGGAGGGGTGAGGGGAAGGGGGAGGAGAGAGGCAGTGGGGGCAGAGAGGAGGGAGGGTGGGAGAGAGGGCGAGGGGGAGGGAGATAAATTCTCTGAACACTCGAAAATTCTTCCCAAATGGACTGATCAGGATTTGGAAGAGGAGCGCCGGGCAGGAAACCAAAACTTCCCATAAGGCAGCGCCCCCCCCCCACCCCCCAATCCCTTAACACGCACCCAGGGGCCTGCTGTATTTTGGAGTTTAGAATGCTTTGGGTTTTGACAATAGCGACTCTAGCAGCGCCCCAGACTCAGCGGCTCTGCAGGAGCTGCCCGGGCGCTCCTGCTCCAGGGATGATCCCCTGACCGGCTCCCACGGTGGGGGGCAGGCCTCCGGGAGCCAAGGTCGCTGTGTGCAGGGGGGAGGGGGCGGGGAGGCTCCTCCCGAAGGCGGCTCGGGGCTGCGGGGGCTGCGGGGTGACGGGGAGGCGGGCAGGGGCCGCGCGCCCGAGAGCTGGGGCTGGGGGGGCGCAGGCTAGTCCGGGGAGCAGCCGAGCGGGTCGGGGAGCGGAGCCCTTCGCCGCCGCTAGGGGGCGCGGAGCACCGCGGCGCCGCCGGGGGGTGACCCGCCCCGCGGAGCCGGCGCAGGTGGCTCCGGGAGTCGTCTTCGGGCCGAGAGCTCCAACTTCTCTTCGTGCGTGTGTCTCAGACACCAAAGCGTGAGCTTCACAGTCTCCTAAACGCGTGTGAAATGTACCTGTGTGGCGCCTCACAGACGCGTGCGTACGTGGAGTGTGAACAGCTGCCCCTCCCCCCCCCCCCCCCCCCCCCCCGGCACGTGGGGTCCCGGCCCGGCCCCGCCCCGGCGGGAAGGCCCCTGGAGGCGGCGAGGTCTGGTCTGTGGGCACCGGGGACAGCCCACGGCCGCCCGGCGAGGGCAGGTGACCGGGGTGGGAGCGTGGGGGCGGGGTCCGTGGTGACACGGACGGGCCTGAGGTCGCTTCTTCAGCCGCCGGAGGGATCGCACGCACGCTCGCCAGCCCGGCCCGGGGCGGGGGTGCGGTCAGGCCGCCGAGGGGCAGCCGGGGTCAGGAGAAGCGGCGGGGGTGCGAGGGCGAGGGCGTCCCGGGTCAGGCTGCAGCAGACACACTGGAGCGGGGACAGGTTTCGCCTGCTGGACGCGGCGCTCACCTCCGTGAGGACCGCGGCACGGGACCACCTCGGAGGAGCCCTCGTGAGCGTGAGGGGCGCGGCCTGCTGCAGGTCACAGAGGCGCCATGCGGTGAGGCCCGCCCCGGCTCTCACGCCCCCACCGCCGCCCCAAGGACAAGCCAGAAGCCCGGGCTCCTTGCAGCCCCACCCGCATCCGAGCTGCCCGGGGCCCCTTCAGGGGTCGGGGCCCTCCTCCCTGATTTCAGCCCCTCTCCCCAGGGTTTCCACACACCCTGACCGACCCCCTTCTGTTGCAGGCCTCGGGCCCACTTTCCCTGACTGGTCGGTCCGGAAACCCAGCTCTCCACAGACACCTCAGCCCAACTGCAAACCCAGAGAAGGGGCGGCCTCTGTCCTCCAAGGCTGCGCCCGCCTGGGCCCTGGTGCGAACCCGGGTCTCCCGCCACACCTTCTGTCAGGCCTCGTGCGTGGGCCGCTTCCCTGGATTTCCGCCGTGGGGTGCTAACAGACCTAGGCCGCGCTGCTCTGGGCCCCCACTGGGTGCCAGGCCTGCAGCCCTGAGATGAGCCTCCCGCCTCCCGCCTCCGCCACCTTCTCCTGTACGCAGGCTGCCCGCCCGCCCGGCCAAGGCACAGGTTTCTTCAGAGTGGGAGCTAATGCATTCACCTTGACGAAGCCCAGCTCTTCCCTTTCACGGTGAGAATCACCTCAGACCACAACAATAGCTCGAAAGGCGCACACGTGACTCTGACCTAGTCAGGAGAATTAAACCGGAAAAAAAAAAAAGCTGGTCACGTGGAAGGAGTGTGGTGAAACCAATTGGTGATAAATTAATGAAATGTTCCATAAATATTCCATGAGAAGCGTCCACTGGGCATCACCAGGTGGTCTGCGGCCCCTCATGGGAAGCTACGGGACCAATGTAGCCAATGGGAAGACTGCGGGGCGGGGTGCTCACATGCACCCTGATGCTCATCTCTCTGGGGTGGCGGGCCCATTCAAGCCAAGGTGCGATTGTTGTAAACCATTTATGATAATCTAACAAAAGGATATAGATAAACTAGTTTTGGTACTGAAGTGGGTTTTTTTTGTTGTTGTTGTTGTCGTTGCTCCTGCATTCAGCATTTTATTAACCAGTCTATGTGAAAGCTCTTCATGTGTAGTGAATAGAATGGTTTTGAGGCTGGGATTTATCTGGCAATGAGGGAGGAAGAAAAGCCTGGTTAGAAAAAAAATCCCCTAAGACCCCTGTCATGTTTGTTTTCTTTTTTTCTTTTCTCCCCTGTACTATTTTTTGCAGGAAGAATCTTGTTCATCCTTCACTCTGTCCTGGAGCTACAGAACTAAGGAAGGTTTTCAAGGTAATTTGTACCCAAGGACAGAAAAAGAAAATTCTATTAGTCACTTGGACATCCAGATAGTCATTTTTCATCCTAGGCATTGTTGAATCTGTTTGTCCCTGCCCGTCCACATGAAGGCTTTAAGTGATTCCTGTAGGACCCTGGCCTGCACGTGGTAACTTCAGGTGTACATAGAACATCTCACCCTCTTTTGCCTGGGATCTCATTGCCTCAGTGTGCAAGGACCAACATGGGGCATGCATACAGCACCCCGGGTCAGGTGGTTTTCACTTTGGGGCCAAGCTTGCCTCCATGAGACCTCTGAAACACTTCTTCCTGCCCCCCTCTTTTTTTTTCTTGACCCTTCTTTTCCAAGGGGACGGTCAAGTGGATGAGCCCCGTGTACACCCTTAAGAATGGTTGCTAATGTTGACCGACTTTCACAGCATGACTTCAGGATGTTCCCTTAGTTAAAGGTCTGATCTCCAGATGTGAGGATGGGGAGGGCAAACATTATGGGAAATGCAGAAGACAGCAGCCCGTCCCACCGACACGGAGGTGGAGGAGCCCCAGAGGGTGGACATGTGAAGTCTTTCTCCTGCCCCAGTCCAGGCTTCAGTGTCCCCCATGCAAACATCTCTTGTGTGCACACGAGGGCTGTGCAGCTGGAGAGGTGACCACAGGGAGGGCCAGCGCTTCCCAAACTGCACACAGCAGCACCCCTGGAGGGTTTGTGGAAGCCCACATGGCAGGAGGGCAGGCAGCCTGTTTCTCATGCCATGAGTCTGGGATGTGGCTCAAATATCTGTATTGCTAACCCATTACCAAGTGATGCTGATGCTGATGCTGTAGATGTAGGGACCTCACTGAGAGAACCGTTGACACAAGCCAGTGATGCCAGAAGTAGAGTGAGCCACATGCCAGGATGTTGGACCTCTACGTAGAGTTGTTCTTTGACAGCCATTCACTGCAGCTTCTATCCCACACATGCCAGGTTATCTATCTGAGTCTTCCTTTGTCGAGTACTGAAGGGTCTAAGGCTTACCCTACTTGCAGACTAGCCTGTTAGACTACCACAGATTCCCAGGTGCTGGCAGAGGATGTGAGATACCTGGGTCAGAGACAAAGGACAGGTTATAGATTCCAGCCAGAGCAGCAGCCAGAGTATCAGCATTTCCACCAGTTCTCCCAGTGCCAGTACCCACAGAGTGACGCCAAGAGGGCTGGGGGATGCGGGGCCCCATTTTTTTCCCCTGCATTTCTCATTTTTATTTGACAGAAAAAGTTGCTCTTGCTGTACAGATTTTAAAAAACCAAAATGCCTTTAAGAAACGTGAAGAAAAGTTGAGGGAGGGGCCACAACCTCACTGGGGGGCAGTAGAGGCCAACTAATTTCCACTCCTGCCCCTTCCCTCTGGGAACACCTCACACAAGTTCCCAAGTTCCAAACCACCGCCCCCCAGGAACTTGGGGGTAAAAGGGGGCATCATGGCCTCCCAGACCCCTTCTAACTCAAGACCAGGGTGTCCCCAAATGTATCCTCCCCTCCCACAACTCCCATTCTCATTTCCACCCACCCCAAACCCCCCAAAACGTGAACCAGGAAAAACTCACAGAGATTAACATTTCAGAGAAACAAAGAAAAAAGGGGGGAGAGAGCCCTGCACTTTGTAATGGGCAGTAAGCCTACCTGACTTTTGCCTAGGAAGGAGATATTTCTTTATTCTACTGACACTAAAAAACACACTTGCTCCAAGGGTAGACACTGTTCTCATATTTCAAGGCTGTTTGCCATACAAACATTCTGAAAACCAGGATCTGGAACAAGGCATCCTGTGCCTCTTCTCTCAAGATGTGCAGAAACCTGAAAGGCCAATGGAGGATCGTCTCCAAACACATTTGCACTCCTACCAACACTTCTCTTTGAAAATTGCCAAGAGGCAAAATTTGTTGAAGGCCACAAAGGTAGGCAGAATAATGCCTACCCCGCCCCAAGGCATTCACATTCTCCTCCCTAGAACCTATGAATATATTACCTGACACGGTGTAATAGTCTCTAGGGGCTCCCATAACAAAATATCATATGCTTGGTGGCTGAAAACATCAGGCATTAATTTTATTGTGCTTTTGGAGGCTAGAAGTCTAAAATCAAGGTGTTGGCCGGGCCACGGTCCCTCTGAAGCTTGTAAGGGAGGACCCTCCCTTGCCTCTTCTAACTTGTGATGGCTCCTGGCATTCCTTGGCTTGTAGATACAGCACTTTGCTTCCATTTCCACAGTGTGCTCCCTGTGTGTCGTGTCTTCTTATATGACACCAGTCATATTGGATGAGGAGCCCACTCTACTTTACTGTGACTTCATTTTAACTAACTACATCTTCCATGACCCTGTTTCCAAACAAAGTCACATTCTCAGGTACTGGAAGTTGGAACTTCAATGTACCATTTTTGATTGGGGGGCACACAATTCAATTCATAACACATAAAAAAATTCATAACACATGACACAGAGGACTTCACGTTGGCAATCAAATCGACTTTAAAATAAGCCGATTATCCTGGATTATTTGGGTGGACCCAAGGTAATCACAATATTCCTTAGAAGTGGAAGAGGCAAGTGAAACAGCCCTTCGGAGTGATGAAATAGGAGAAGGACTCAACTCGCCACTGCCGGCTTTGAAGACAGAGAGGGGACCAGCAACCAAGGAATGTGGGCAGCCTCTAGATGTGGGAAAACACCAGGTGTCAGATTCTCCCCTAGAGCCTCCAGAAAGATGCTCAGCCTTGCTGACAGCTTGATTTCTACCCAGTGAGGACTACCAACTTACAGAAATGTAAGGTAATGAATGTGTGTTGTTTTGGTCCACCAAGTTTGTGGCCATTTGTTTTTTGAGGGTTTTTTGTTGTTTTTAAAGATTTTATTTATTTATTCATGAGAGACACAGAGAGGCAGAGACATAGGCAGAGGGAGAAGCAGGTTCCCTGCAGGGAAGCCCAATGTGGAACTCCATCTATTCCAGGATCCTGGGATCACAACCTGAGCCGAAGGCAGACGCTCAACCACTGATCCACCCAGTTTTCCCAGCATTTGTTACAGCAGCCTAGGAAAGGCTAGCAACTTCGATCACAGCTGGGATACAAGTTCATTTCCCAAGCTATTTTCCATGTTGTCCTGTATGGCACAAATTAAATATCTTTCATATATCATTGTTTGCCATTTATAATCCACAATTTATGTCTATAACTATTTCAGAATCTCAGAAAGAAGGAATTCTCTTTGCATCCCTCTTTTTACCTTATTTGCAGTCTTGCATTTCATGGCACCACTTTCAGGTGACTGGAATCACAGCACTGCTTTACATTAGGCTTTGCTTTGTTTTTCAATTAAAATCTTTTGTTGGTAGAAGATAGAAGCAGTGCTTGCTTGCTTAAGGTCTGTTTATCTAGCCTGATGACGCCATGTTTGTATAACAGGAGCTCAGGAAGTTAATCAATATTTGTGATGAAACAACACCCTCCTCCTCAGTGCGCACAATGGCTTGGAAGGTTTGAGTTGTTTATATTACAACTATGCTGGCCACTTATTCTCTATATTGTTTGTGCTTTGAGGGGAGAGACTAGGTCTTTGCATTCTCCAAAGCCTTATACATCTGAGACTTTTACTAAATAATGATGAATTATCGAAGCTGGGGATAGTTGTTTTCTGGAGATGTTTACTTGTGTTCTGGAAGCTTTGATTTCCTGTATCTTTTTATTGTTGTCTGTTCTCCTGGCGTCCCTCCAGTCACCACCTCATCTTTCTGTAACTAAGCTTCCTGAAACAGAACAAAGTACTCCAGGTGTGGTCTCATTTTAGTCTCTGAACTGTGAGGTAATGCTTCTCTTCATAATGATACCTTGTTCTTACCTGGCACCTTACAAATAAATTTCACTGCTGGTGAAGAGAGTATGTGTGTGCGCCTGCGCGCGTGCACACGTGTACACACACACACACACACACACACACACTTGCTCACTTCCAAAAGCTGGGCAAAAGTAGGTTATCAGCTCCTTCAGAAAACAGAGAACTGCCAGCTCGGTGCCTCCATATTTTTTCAAGGGATCCACTTAATAGCACAATGTGTTTCTGATGAAAGCTAATAATATTATCTTGAAATTTTAGAATACCTGTCCCGTGAGTGTCAAAGAACCAGGAGAAATGTAAGTTTACCTTTATAACATCCCTATGGGAACAGCACCTCTGCTTTTAAATGTGACCCATTATTTTGCTTGAGTATAAGGTGGGAAGCTTTTGGGAAAAATCTACCCAGAGGGTGGGGCTTCTGAAAGAGTATCCAGAGTGATATCAGCGAAAGAGTATTCAGGAATGTGGCTGCCAGGGAGGGAGATTTAACTGCAGTTTATTTGAAGGAGAATGTAATTTTTCTAGAAGAATCAAATAATTACTGAATAATATCAGATAATGAGAGTTTTCTGAACTCTTAGGATGTTTTGGTGTCAGTTGGAGCTCACCACTTACCACCATCCAGAAACATGCAGTTGAACAGCCTCAGGGTTAAGTGAAAGAGGAGGGTTTGGATTCGCACGGAAGTTTCCAAGCAAAAATTGAAGTGTCTGAGTTTAGCCTGGCATGGGTTACACTAATCTCCTGTGGTCGGGGTGTTGTGAAAAAATTCCTGACATAAATTATGGTAGAAAACCTGAATTTATGTTGTCTTTCTTCTAGGTGTGGGGGCTGCCTTGCTATTGGCTAATGCCTCAAGTATGCTCCAAGTGTCCTGTTAGATCTAAAAACACCAGTTCTGGGGCTTCTTTGTCTCGTTAACATATGTATATAGCTTTTAACTCACCAAATTTTTTCAAAGAGATGTTTATTATGAAGGAATTTCCACCTGCTGGACACCAGTGCTGACCAAGTTACTCTGCCACATGCTAGTGTAGCATTCAGCCTAAAAATCTTTCAGACCAGGCTAGATTAGCCCTTAGTCTTTGGATGTTCAAGTAACGAGCATGGTGGACAAATGAAAATATAATTTGCGGCCCCTTGTAAGCTCTATAGCCTGGTATGGTCATAAAGAATATCAAGACCATGAGGACTGGTTAAATGGGATGAATTGCACGAATGCCATGCTCAACCACATTGGAACACGATGCACAAGGAAAAACCAATCGTACTGATCTTGTCTTTATTTAAAATAGTGACATTTTGTTCGTGCTGGATTTTTTTTGCATTAATTCTGATTTGTTAAAAGATTGCAGTAAACATTATTTATCTTGATGACTGAATTTTTTGGTGTCCCCTTTAATTTTGCTGCCAAGGCAAATGAGTCACCTTAGTCTTAGTGCTGAGCCAGAGGTTAGCTCCATCCCCTCCTGAAGCCCCACTGAGATGACTGTACTGGGTCTTTCAAAGTCATAAACCCACAAAGGCAAAGAGAATCAGAGAAGACCTTAGAAGGTTCGAATGGAATGGAAAAGTGGCACTTGGCTTAGTGGATTGGAGAAAATGATGCCCCCAGCTGGCAGTGTCAAACACTGAGAAACAACCTTATTTACATCATAAGATCCACTTTCTCCACACACAAACTCTTCAAAACTGGTGGAAGCAAGTGCTCCTCTGACTGGTAGTGAGGGAGGACTGGATAAAGTCTTCTTTAAGAAGTGGCTAGATTCAGCAGTGGCCTGGAGGTTTATTTTCTGAAGAGACTAAACTGAGGTTATCTAGTCTGGGAGCACCAAGTGCAACTGAAGGAAAGATATGGAGACAGGAGAGTAAGAGGTAGTTTACAAATAAATAAAACTCCAGTTTTGGGTTCAAAACTCCAGACTCCTTCCCATCTTAGGATAGGAACTGGCCATATACCCTTCAGGTAGATTCAAAGTGTCTTTTCTGGAAAACCTCACCAGGTGATGAGAAATACCTAAAACACTGACCCCAGGAGCTCCTAAGGACATGGGCCAGCCTGACCATCCTATAGGAAAGACTGTGGGCCATAAGCACCACAAGTCTTCCAGTAAACCCTTAGCAGCCCCCTCTTACACATTGGCTGACAAGGATCATCAGGCAAGATACACAGGGTCAAGTATATCCCAGCAATAATGAAAAGCAAAGCAACAGGAAAAGAGCATCTTGTAGAAGCAGAGACCACTCAAACAGAAGAAAAGAACAACTTCAAGGAGGTAAGAGAAGACACTACATCCATAAAACAAGAAGAGCATCTTGTATAAAAGGAATATGCAAGGTACAAAATAAATCTGAGAAAATAAAAATATGAAAACTGAAATTTAAAACCCAGTAAGAAAGTTGAAGGGTAATGTAGAAGAAATCTTCCAGAAAGTAGAGTAAAAAGATTTTTAAAAATTAAAGGTAGGAAAAAATAAGAAAATTAGAGAATCAATCCTGGTAACAGGAAATCAATGAGTGAATCATAGGAACAAAAACAAGAAGCAGTGGGAAGGAAATTAGTTAGAAATAACAGAGGAACCCTTCCTAAAACCAAAGAAGGCTATTTTCTAGATGGAAAGGGCCCACCATATATCCTGTCCAAAGTATGAAAATGGTCTACACCAACCAAAGTACTTCAGAATTTCAGTGTTGGGGACAAAGAGAAGACTCAAAGCACTTGCAGAGACAAACATGTGGCTCACAGGTAAAGAATCAAGAATCAGAACGACATTATATTTAAAATGATAATAAAAGGAACTGCTTTGGAAAAAACAAAAAAAATCAGAATTACGTTAATTAGACTTCTTGGTATCAATCTCAGAAGCTAGAAGACAATGAAGCAATGCTTTCCAAATTCCAAGAAGAAATTATTTCTGTCCTAGAATCCTATCCCTTGCCAGAAAAATCCACTGAATGTGAGGGTAGAACAAAGACCTTTGAGGATATACAAAATTTCAAGAAATTCACTTCATGAAGAAATTACTGAGGAAGCTGCTACATATCCTCCCAAAAACCACAGAAGAGGAAGAATTGGAATATAGAAAACAAAGGATATGGCAGAGACATTTCTTTGGGAAAAATGACCTGATATCCTCACATGTTTGGATATATAGAAAGGAGATTTACACAAGGATACTGTTTGGGTGTATGGTGGTAATAAATACGCAGGGAGTTAAGTGCATGTGTGCATACACACAGTACAGTGAAAAGCTCTGGGGAAAACAGTATTGTGCAAGAAAGAAAAAGTAACAGTATACTGTGACTCAGCTGTAAATAGCATTTGCAAGCATAATTATATAAACACCAAATACTGCTACAACCAAGCTATGTTGTAACTGTATTGATATTGAGAGGATGAAAAGTTGAGAAACCCGCGTGGATAAAGTAGGGTACCATGGTTATGGGTTTCTGAGAACAGGCTTGTCATCTTCCATAAAGGGAAGTTAACAGATAGGGCCTAAAATGGAAGGCTCCAGGAAGAGGAACGCGGGCATGTTATTTGTAGATAGGAAAGGAAGTACAAAGGGATGTGCTAAACTCGTGGCCAGTGGGTTGCCTCTGGGGGAGCGAAACATGCTAAGGAGGTTCTGCTGTTTTTCATAAAAAGCCTTGTGGAACAATTTGACTTTAAAATATGTGCATATATAATTTTGATAGGAAAAAACCCACAAATTAGAAAAGGAAGAACTTTGATCTTCAAGAGCAGTTCACAGAGTCATGATAAGGACCAGGAAAGGGGGCAGGTGATTCAGATGTGCACAGATGCAGTGGCAAAAGGTGGGTGGCCAATTTCATCCACACCTTCTTCTTCAGAGTCAGAGAAATTGACAGTCTCTCTGGGAGAGAAGGGATCTCCAATTGCACTGCTGCTATATTGCCATAAAAACATGGCAAGTGTCTGAGTGTGTTTCCAGGGTAGGACGTATGGATGATAATTTGAATTAATGATTAAAGATCCCAGTGTAAGCCTGGGTAGCATGAGAATTAATTATAGATTTGATTAAAGATATTCGGGTTCATTAAAAGTTAAGTGTTCTTATTCCTCAGAATTGTTGATCTCAGTAAAATGAAGTTCGCTGTTCTTGAGTGGGTCTTGCCCAAGGTCCCTGAGTGAAAGCTAAAACAGGTTAAGTACCCTCTTTCCCAGTTCCTCATGCCCCTGTCATAGGGGTCACACCTCATTTCCATGCACACACTGCTGGTGGAATGTCTTTAATTTTTACCATTTCCCCTCGGGCCTGCCGCACGCACTGGATACTTGAATTTGTAATTAAGCTAGAGTTGATGCTGTCTATGCACAGTTCTATATTTTCTAAGATTGAAAAGGTTTTTCTGCTCCCATTTGGATGACCTTTGTAATAAAACTCAAGATAAAACTCTCTGAAAAATGTAAGTACAAAGGGGTGCTCACTTTTAGAAGAATTAAAATAGGAAATCATCGATGTCAGTAACAAGAGAAACAAGAGCTCTGGGACAAAGCCAAGTTTTAGTATTGCACTGGTTATTTCCACTGGCCCCACCACTCCCTCGTTTTCTGCTTTTCCCTGTCCTGTGTGTCCCAGGACTCTAGGACTCTGACTTGTATTTGCACCTTCCCTTGGCTTCTTGGCCCTTTGACTTCTGGTTAGGGATGCAGGTTTGGCAGGGGAAGCCCCGTTGGGGGTGGGGGTGCTGTAGCTTTCTCTAGGCTCCACTACATGGCACCTCCCTCTGTCCCTTCAGATCCAAGAGTGGTGACAGTTCTCACAGATACTAGGCACCCTCTCTTGATGGTTCCGTGAAAGCCATCCACACTCTGAATAGTTGGTTAGTTAAATTCATTTCAATTAGACTTTCTGATGATGTCGTCTGTTTTCTACCGAGACCTTGCCTGAGAAGAGTGTGGTTTTTGGCTATGTCATCTATTTGTCTCCCAGTCTCCCCCAGTAACTAATGAGTTCCTAAGGGCGATGGCTCGCTCTCATTCATCTTTGCTTCCCCAAGGTCTTGTACATGGCCTGGTGTGTTGTAGGCATTCAATATATGCTTGATGGATGAAACAATGTACCTATTAGTGAATTCCTCTACGTGGGTTTTTTTTTTTAATCGAAATTTAAACAGTATTGGTTTTTCCAGTCCATGAGCATGGAATATCTTTCCATTTGTTTGTGCTGTCTCCAGTTTCTTTCATCAATGTCATATAGTTTTCAGAGTACAGGTTGTTTACTTCCTTGGTTGTTTTTATTCTTAGGCATGTTATTATTTTGGGTGCAATTGTAAATGGGATTGTTTTTTTAAATTCTCTTTCTTCTACTTTATTATTAGTGTGTAGAAATGCAACCAATTTTTGTATATTAATTTTGTGTCCTGCAACTTCACCAAATTCATTTATCAGTTCCAATACTTTTTCTGGTGGAGTCTTTAGAGTTTTCTGTACATTGTATCATGTCATCTGCAAGTAATACAAGTTTTAATTCTTCCTTAATGTGATGTTTTATTTCAGAGAAAAAGTCGAGGTTATTTAACATATCTAGACCAGGAGATAAGAGTGGAGGTTGTACATTTGGAATAGAAACATGCACTATTGTCGATGGTTTACAGTCATTAATTGTTTAGGTCAAGCCTCCCTACCTTACCTTATACAAATCTTAAGATTATAGGTCTATAAAACAGACTGTTTCATTGAAGATATTGGATAAAGGTATAAAACAGAAGCTCATATACAAAAAACATGGAATGTTTTTGGACGCTAAGTCTGCGATTTTAGATGCATCCAGACATGAACAGAATATTCCATTTCTAGGGATGAAAAAAATAAAGTTCATTATTATCTCACATAACAAAAATTCTAGAGGTTCCAGGTCCTTCTCTGGCTCCTCATAAGGCTGACTGTTGGCCACCCCTCCCTCTTTTAAAGCCATAAAATGGTGGCCTCTACCCAGGCACTAGCTTCCCACAAGTCCAATAAAAGCAGACAAGGAAATTCTTTCCACTTGTTGTTTCCTTAGTGAGGCCTTTAGCAGGTTCCCACTACTGTCCATTGGCCTTGGTTGGCTCTCAGACCCATGAGCTAGCTGCAAAAGAGGCTAGGAATGACTCTGGTGTTTTCAACATCTGCAGTGGAAGGCAGTGTCTACTAGCAAGAAAGAAGGAGCAGAGGAGAGAACTGTTGGATGAACCACCAAGAGTATAACTCATAACTGGGGATCCCTGGGTGGCTCAGCGGTTTAGCACCTGCCTTTGGCCCAGGGCGCGATCCTGGAGTCCCGGGATCGAGTCCCACGTTGGGCTCCCAGCATGGAGCCTGGTTCTCCCTCCTCCTGTGTCTCTGCCTCTCTCTCTCTCTCTCTCTCTCTCTCTCTATGTCTATCATAAATAAATAAATAAATAAATAAATAAATAAATAAATAAATAAATAAATCTTTTTTAAAAAGAGTATAACTCATAACATAACTCAGAGAAACAGAAGAGCAGAGATGACAAAACTGCCAAGGGTTCCAAATACGCTTAATTGAGAAGATTATTTTATCTATAAACTATTTCCGTTCTTTGTATAGGTTGCCTTATTTACTTGAGGGGGCAGAAAGGGTGATGATGTCAGTCTGTCTCTTCTGTGACATGAACTTGATACCGACAGTTAATATTTATAAGGGCATTATGCAATCTGCACACAAAATCTGTCACAAACCCTGAGCATGCACAGGTACAAAGTACCTCTTTGTACTGAATTCTGTTTATTCCCAATTATACTTTCCTGGTTTATTAAATGTACTTGCATTTTATTTTATTTTTTTATTTTTTTTTGTACTTGCATTTTATAATAATGACATCTGACAGACCAAAAAATTGTTTCTCAGAAATTCTGCTGTAGGTCCTAATAATTGCTTAAACAATAAAAGTTGTCTTGCGTTAAAGCTTACAGTAAAATATTATAAAGGATAAGGTGTTATTATTCTTTTTCAATTAAAGAAGAAATATAAACGCCATTCATTGTTTGAAAGAGGACAGAGAAAACATTTATCAAGGTCCCTCTATATGTTGTATGTCTTGCATGTAACCTCATGGACCCTCGCAACAACTGTGTGTATGTGTGTTGTGAGTGTGTGACATATGGGATATGTATGTGTATCATTTGGGATATTTACGTAGGGGGTATATGTGTGTTTGTGTGAGTGGTGTGTGTGGTGTGTGTAGTATATGGTTAGTACGTGTGGTGTTTATTATATGTGTGTGGTATGAAGTTTGTGTGTGTGGTGTGTGGTATTTCGTGCCTGTGGTGTGTATGTGCAGGTGATGTGTGTGGTATGTATAGATGGTGTGTGTGTGGAATATATGTACAGATATTATATGTATGTGATGTTTATGTGCAAGTGGTGTGTGTGTGTGTGTGTGGCATGTATGTGTAGGTGGTGTGTTGGGGGGGGACATGTACATGCAGGTGATGTGTCTGTGTGTGCGTATTGCTATCTGCTTTGTACGGTGAGGGCACTGATGCTCAGGATAGTGTGCATTGTTCATTAGTGGTAAAGCCCAGGTTCAAGCCAGGTTTATCCATGATTTCTTACAACCCCATCCTGCCCACTCCCCATGTGGTATGGCTGGTTCAATGGCTGTGTGACATTCTGTCAGAGATTTGGAGTCCCTAATAAGACTGAGGCCCAGGATCAAGTGTAGGTGTATCAATTTGCTAAGGCTGCTATAACAAAGCACCACAACCTGAATTAAACAGGCTTAAAACAACAGAAATTTGTTCTTTCTCAGTTCTGGAGGCCAGAGGTTCAAAATCAAGATATCAGCTCAGTCAGTTCTTTCTGGAGGCTCTGAAAATAGGATCTGTTCCAGACCTTTTCCTGGCTTCTGGTAGTGGCCAGCAATTCTCAGAATCCCTTGGTTTGAAGACATGTCACTCTGGTCTCTGCCTCAGGATTCACATGACCTTGTCCCCTCTGAGCAGCCTCCCCTCCCCTGAGGACACTAGTCATTGGATTTAGGGTCCACTCTAATCTCTTATGACCCATCCTAATGACAATAATTATATCTGCAAAGAACTATTTCCAAATAAGGCTACATCCTGAGGTTCTTGGGGGAGGGGCATGGGTTTTTTTTTTGGAGGAGGTTACCGTTCAACTCAGTATGATGAGCTTTGAATAACTGAGAAATTGAAAGAATTTGACTTCTACCTGGCATATGAGCAGTCAGGAAACATCTAGAAAAGGCAGAGTGACATCTGGTCTTCCAATTCTTTCAACAAATGCCTACTGAGCACCTACTAGGTTTTCTAAGCATAGGAATCCAACAGTGAACAACACAGAGAGGGTCCCTGGCCTCCCCGGCTTCCTTATCC